GAACTCCTTAACAGTGAGCATCTACGAACCCATCGTGTAGGATTCGAAACCAAAATCTATCAAAATAGAATTATTAATTTGGATAGGTGATAATGGTAGAACCTGAAGAGAATTTATGAAAAGAATATTCTTTGTTCAAATATTCATCTTTTAAGATGACAGGGATCTTTAAACGAAAAAAAAACTAAACAAAATAATTTGCTGAATGAATCTATTGAATGTACATTACGATAATGTAATAAGTAGATGAAGATTATCAGAACTATGTGATGATATATTAGCGCAATACATTTCGAACAATCTAATCACACATATACTTGTTAAGAACGTTTATATATAAAAATAAAAGGTCAACTAGAGTGGAAATGGGGTAAGAGGAGACAAGGATAATAATAATAATAATAATAATAATAATAATAATAATAATAATAATAATAATAATAATAATAATGTGGGAACAATTTGAAGCCTAATCACTTAGGATAATAAGCCAAGATTCCTAGGGTAGGTTTAAGGTGAGAGCAAACTGTTTTTGAATACACAAAGGGAGTTTGAATTTTTGTATTATCAAAGAAAGAGCAAAGTGCATGCTTCATCCAAAACCTAAAAGACACGGAAACGATTGTGTCACATTCCACTGCGTTTACCAATTTAAATGTGTGTGTGGTCATACATACATAGGGAGGAGCAATCTTGCTCTGATAATCTTCGTCTTCTTATTACATTATCGAAACTTCATCACTTTGGATAATAAGGGTAGATTTAAGGTGTGAACAAACTGATCTCGAATATATGAAGGGAGTGTGAATTTTCAAATGGTTAAGGCTTAGTATACGCCCTTTTACACTTTTATATAAAACCACAAAAGCCGAGTTAAGATCAATCTTGTGACCTGTTTCAATTATATGTTTAGCAATAGAGGATGATGGATGTTTATCCTCTACTCTTAATGGGTCACTTGATTCTATTTGTTTCTGTAACTAATTTGGTACATATTCACACACCCTAATTTTGAGATCACGATCACTCCTCCCTATGTATGTATGACAACACACACATTTAAATTGGTAAACACAGTCGGTTGTGGTGTAGTCGTTTTTTTGTCTTTTAGGTTTTCGATGAAGCATGAACCTTGTTGTTTCCTTGATAATGACCTTCGCTGCACAATATGTCTTGTTAATGACTGACTTATGCCTTTGTTTCAATAAGAAGCCATTTGAATCACCTCTAAATGGTAAGGTGATGTAGACAGGCTTTTCTCTGCCAAAGCTATAATAGGTCACTGTACCATGAATTTTCCATCTATTTATTAATTTCGGAGGATAGCCATTTTCCATTAATGTTTTGTTTAGTAACCTAACATCATCATCATCAATAGCGCCATTTGTACAATAATGTGTTTACCAATTTAAATAGGTATGTGATTACACATACATAGAGAGGAGTGATCGTGATCTCAAAATGAGGGTGTGTGAATATGTACGAAATTAGTTACAGAAACAAATAGAATCAAGTGACCCAATAAGAGTAAAAGATAAACATCTATCATCCTCTATTACCAAACGCATAATTATTGAAATAGATCATAAGACTGATCTTAACTCGGCTTTTGTGGTTTTGTATAAGTGTAAAAGGGCGTATACTAAGGTTTATTGAAGCCTTAACCATTTGAAAATTCAAACTCACTTAATGTATTCAGAAATAGTTTGTTCACACCTTAAATCTACCCTTATTATCCAAAGTGATGAAGTTTCAAATTGTTTCCACATTATTTTCTTTATTATCCTTGTCTCCTCTTACCCCATTTCCAGTCTAGTTGACCTTTTATTTCTTTATATATATCAATGTTCTAAACAAGTGTATTATGTACGATCAGATTGTTCGAAATGTATTGCGCTAATATACCATCACATAGTTCTGATAATCTTCATCTTCTTATTACATTATCGAAATCTGTCAAAGGAACTAACTGCTTTAAATGTAAATGTACATTGTTTTCTGACAAGGAAAACAACATTCAAATTTCAACCAATAAAAGGAAATGAAACATGAATTATTGGGATTGCCGAAAAAACATTTATACGACTCACAATTGATTGATTACTGGGTGGTGATCAATGTCATGCTTGTCTAGTCCTTATTAGTGCACATCGAATGCTATTGATCACCTTGCTGACGAGTGCCAAGTAGCACGAAATCCGGGTCCAGGGTTTCCTGTTGACTACCTCCAACTACCATCTAAACTTATACGACTATTACACGTGACCTTAAATCAAGGTCGCAGGTAGTATTTATATTCAAAAGTATTGCATTGTATTTCTTTTAAATATTACATTTACATCAATAAAATGTTCAGAAAATCTAATAAAGGACATAAAAGCAAATAGATGAGCTGATATAACTTCAGATCATTACGTGAAGGTGGCCAAGATGAAAGTGAAGCTAAGAAAGCATAGAATAATTAGGTAAATAGCATTTAAAAAGTCTAATACAGTCTTCCTTCAACATACTGAACACTCAGTGAATCCAAAATAACATCCACAATAAGTTGCACGCTTAACCAGATGTACACCAAGAAGAAGAAGCAATCAGGGTAAACAACTCTAAAAGGATCGTACAAACACAACCGTTAACAGTGGATCTCTATCGTAACCATGTACAAGAATGAGGGCACGTTAATCAAAAATACTTGAACAAGAGCAGAGGAAGGTAACACACAGGCTAAATACTTGGAAGCAAGCAAGTTAGTGAAAAGGAGCGTTTGAACTGCTAAACGGAAATATGCAGAAGACCTAGTAATAGCAAAGCAAACAGCTGAAACAGAAGCAATATACCAGAGCACTGCGTAGTAGAATGAAGAAGCTAGCTGAAAAATGTGGCAAACCAGAGTTACCAGTCAGCAACCAACAAAGCAAAATAATCGCTGAGATTCAAGTATTGGGGAATAGGCTGGTAGAGTACATTGGAGAAATCTTGAACAGACCAACCTCACTGGACACACTGCAGATCGAGGTAACACACATATAAATTCCTATTGACGTTACCCACCAACAAAAGCAGAAATCAGGATGGTCATGATGTGCACAAATGTCAAATATACAACCATCATCAAAAATGTACAGGTATTTACAAACAGCTGTACTAGAAACATACGCCAGATCTGGTGACCACTTACCATCACCAAAAACCTACTGTGGAAGAGAACAAACAGCTTGAAGATGAACAGGAAACTAAGTATTGTGGCTGAATGTGGATAAAACGATATATAATGGGATAGGATACAAGTTGTGTAAACCCCCAAACCGCATCACGAAGCAGGCTCTTACTAGAAATTTTGAAAGGAAAAGGAAAGGAGTAAGACAAATGAACAAATGAACACTGGAATTGGACACAGACAGTGAAAGGATAAACACCACTTGACAACAACTGGAAAGCAGAGTCCAAGACAGAGTAGACCTGAGATTTCTATTCGGTGGTCTATGCCTTACGAGAATCAACAGGCTTAATTGAGTACCTAGGTATATCAACAGATACAGTTGAGTACACTCCACTTGATCTGTACTTATCTTATCTATCTTCACAACTCAGTGGTCAATACATGATGCTTGAATCATGGAACCACTGGTTTTGGTGCAATTTCGTCCTCTGTACTCAGTGTTTCGATTTTGTAGCTCCCGTCTTCTCACCAGAGGATACCATTACCACATATTTCCGATAGCACAAACCGCTCATTTCTTTCCATACACATATTCAGAACATTGTTTGAAGACAATCAGAAAAAAAGAAACAACTCAATTCTCTAAACAAACCAGCTAAAGCAAACCAACTTGCAAATTCACCCTAACAATCCAACATCTAAATATCTCACACATGATATTTGCAAATTAATTGTTTGTTCTTTCCTGTTCAATAGTCAATTCAATCATCAAATTAAAGGTGACCAAAGTTCGTTCACTCGATCGACCAATCAAGTCTCAATATTCAACTATTAAAACCACAATCGATTTGATATAAATGAGTATCATGTTATTTTACACCACAATGTAAACATCATGGATGATTAACATTTCTATATTCATATTCAAAACTACTCATTTATTCCATCAGTAGTAGTTGTTGTAGCAGTAGATGCAGTAATACATGAATCAATCAGCATTTCATCACTTCTATTACTTTCTATGGAATCATTTGTAAAATGTAAGCGATTTGTTGTTCCCGTTTCTCTTCTCTCAGTTCATTCTTCTTTTCCATGTATGTAGCATGCATGGATCTCTATGATGGATCATTAATCCGACTGTATTCTCCCAAATACATCACCACATATCTTGATTGTTTCTCCTAAATGATCTCATAGAATTCATTGCTGAACTGAATGGATAATTAACTGTTCATGTGAATTAATTCAATCTCTTTGAAATATTACCATAATGCAGTACATGCTTTCATCTGAATGTTGTTTGATTCAAACAGCTTTCCACCATTGAACACTGTATTTAATGATTTATGTTAAGTCAATTGTGAAACATGCATAATAGATGTATTTTATTCAATATCATATTGTTAAAATACTTGTATACATAAACAATTCCAATGTTCTCATACATATATGTAATTGCCATAATGATATAATAGAATATAGTTTCATACTGTACCGTTGTTTTTGATTTTGTGAATAATTGGAGGATCTTGTTGATTTCACAAATGGTCTATACTAGAACAAACCATCGTAGTAGTTTTGTTATGTGCTACTGATTTCGAAAGATATGAGGCGTATATATCACCAGTTGAAAGTGGAATGCCTGATGGCAGAATGTTGAGAAGATCGAAGGGAAGTGAACGATAACAGAGAGTGATTGTTATGGAAATGAAGAAACAATGAAGTGTTAGACAATTGATGGACATTTAGCGAATGAAGATTTCACTGTGTGGTTCTCATGTTTCGACAAGACACTCTGTAATTTTGTATTAAAATACATTTTGTTTTCCCGATTGATGTTGTCATGCACTACACTATTTTTACTACTACTACTACTACTACTACTACTACTACTACTACTACTACTACTACTACTACTACTACTACTACTACTACTACTACTACTACTACTACTACTACTACTACTACTACTACTACTACTACTACTACTACTACTACTACTACTACTACTACTACTACTACTACTACTACTACTACTACTACTACTACTACTACTACTACTACTACTACTACTACTACTACTACTACTACTACTACTACTACTACTACTACTACTACTACTACTACTACTACTACTACTACTACTACTACTACTACTACTACTACTACTACTACTACTACTACTACTACTACTACTACTACTACTACTACTACTACTACTACTACTACTACTACTACTACTACTACTACTACTACTACTACTACTACTACTACTACTACTACTACTACTACTACTACTACTACTACTACTACTACTACTACTACTACTACTACTACTACTACTACTACTACTACTACTACTACTACTACTACTACTACTACTACTACTACTACTACTACTACTACTACTACTACTACTACTACTACTACTACTACTACTACTACTACTACTACTACTACTACTACTACTACTACTACTACTACTACTACTACTACTACTACTACTACTACTACTACTACTACTACTACTACTACTACTACTACTACTACTACTACTACTACTACTACTACTACTACTACTACTACTACTACTACTACTACTACTACTACTACTACTACTACTACTACTACTACTACTACTACTACTACTACTACTACTACTACTACTACTACTACTACTACTACTACTACTACTACTACTACTACTACTACTACTACTACTACTACTACTACTACTACTACTACTACTACTACCACTACGACGAATACTAATACTACTAATGTTATTTTATTTAGATCTAATTAATTAGTATTATTATCATTTTGTTCAATCTCTACCGTATTTCACTCAATGAAGATAAATTATTTGATGAGAAGTCGTTAAACATGAACTTTGTCCCTATTTAGCACAAGTTGTCAGTACGTTCTTTTGTTTTATGCAACACCATAACAATGCAGTTTACTTCATTCTGTAATGAATATTCATTTAAGATGGTGGTTGGAGGTAGTCAACAGGAAACCCTGCACCCGTGTTTCGTGCTATTTGGCACTCGACAGCAAGGTGCACCTGTTATCTTGAGGGAACTGGTGCTCCTTAATTTATTCGATCCCGTGTCACCCAACTATACAGTCAGAGATAGCCCAGTGTGAGAACATCTCTGGTGCAGTGTTTCCTGTTGACCACCTCCAACCACTATCTTATCTCAACATAGTGCACACAATGTCCAGTCACCTAAACTAGTTCCCACATTGCAACTTGATCGATAGCATTCGATCTGCAATAAGAAGGACTTGCCACACATGAAATTGATCACCACTCAGTGGTCAGTCAATTGTGAAATGTTCATTTGCATGATGTTAAGCACTTAATTGATCTCCATATCAATGCAATATGAACATTGGATAGTTGAAGCGCATTGTCGAATATTTTCCCAGTTCATTTCCATAAACAGTTGAGAAAATGAATATTTATTGCTTACAAATTTAAACAACCAAGTATTGTTTACAAAAATGAATGACCTCATTTGTAAATGAATGAAGATATGTTTAGTAAGGTGGTTGATAGAGGGAACATTAAGTAAAGGATGATTTCAGTGATGCACTGATATTGATTAGAGTACCAGACACATATAAATAGATGTTTCTCTCCGACTTGGGAATTCTCACAAATGCGTGCAAACAAATGAACAAACACTTGACTCAGAACATTCAGACCACACTGATAGAAAGTTAGTGTCGACTCACTGGTCTTCAATTCAACGACTTCACACTTCATAACTCAGTAGTGCCTGTCCATTTCTGTCTCACTCCTGTATTTGTAGTTTTCGGTTCAGGGCTGTAACATCTTCATTATCCACAATGTCCTCAAATAGGAAGTTTATACAGTTGTCCGACCACAGCGTGTCACGTTGATATTCTAGAAGTTCTATCAAGTTGTGACTGGACAGAATCTGATCGGTTTCTTCAGAGGCACTGGAGGCTTCGTCGCGCTTTCTGACGGCCGTCTCCGAAGAAGCATGTCTACATTGAATATTCGTTTGAGCAAATGGTTCGGTAAATCACACAGCATTTTATCATGCTGTGAGTGATATGCAGATGAATAGGCAATGCTCGAACTTTTGTCGACACATATCATGTTTGATGAGGTCTTTCAACGCCGTGTAAACTAATCGAATGTTCAACAAAGAGAGAAATGTACTCAATAGGAAGGAAGAAGTAAACTTTATTTACGAAATACCTATTTATATCAGTCCATCGCTTCTCTGTTACGGTTATGGAGTTATTAGATTACTTTGTTTGTGTGCATTACAATTAGGTGATCGGGTTGTAGTGTTTAGTACTATTTCAAGCCCATATGGTTAGTTCTAGTTTCCAATTGATTTGTTGGTCTTGAGCTGCATCTCGACCTTGTGGATTATTCGTCTATTGAGTCACACCTTATCAAATTGACTCGGAATACTAGCCTCCTCAGCTCCGCTGCTCTCCACTCTGCTTCAGTTCTTCTGTTCTAGCTATGAAGTTCTATCTGAATGATAAATGAATACCTGAAATAAATTAATTCAACTCAACACTTATTTGACTTTTTATTACCACCGTCGCACAAACCGGATTAAACTAGTGTAATAATTACGGAGTTCAATAGAAGATTTATATTCATGACATATTCATTCGTACATTCAAATCCGAGTCAGATCAACGGGACACATAAAGGTATTTCGTTTATACATAGCAGTCGAATCAAAATCATGCAAAATATTTTATCTCGTGTTTATACAACTAATTGCTTGATTCTATATAGAGGTTTGAATTTCCCTGTTGTTAATATCAAACACAGCATTGCAATATGTGCATCTTGAGTGGACTTTTTGTGGCCTATGGATCTAACTCCATTTAGATCGTACGAATGTTCGTTATCACCTATCCTCGTATACAATTATCGACTTAAATCACATTAGTCAATAACGGAATTTAGATAAGTCAATTAACGAGAATGGCCTTTGAATACATATATTTTGTATGTAAAGTGAATGTAATAGAACAGAGCAAAATGACGCGCAGGGAAGATGGCTAGGAAGCCAACTCCATTTCTAGCCAGGCATCATGCAATATTTATAGGCAGGCAATAAACTACAGACATGTGGTGAGTCATGGGATATGAAGTGTACACTTACCATTATTAACATGGAAGTGTACATTCAATCTGTTATGAATGTTATCCCTGTCAATGATCACTTGATAAAATCGCTTGTCACAGTACCAACTTCTCTGACTCTGTCCCACCCTATGCTAAACCAATCTCTAATCTCCCAGTACCAACATTTTTGGATCAACTCTAAATACTTTTTGGTACTCTAATTTGTAGTTTCTCATCTAACTAGACCAGTTCGTTCAGTCCAGGACATAAATATTAACCTTTGTCTTTTCAGTCGTATATTTCAGATATATATATATATATATATATATATATATATATATATATATATATATATATATATATATATATATATATATATATATATATATATATATATATATATATAGTTTAAATACAACCAAAATGAACCTCATCACACCATAAAACAATAACGTAAAAATTATATGAGATGAAGCCAAAAGTGACTCTGAGTATAGAAGATTATAACTAATAGATTTGGTATAAATTAAGAACAATAATTCATATCAGTGTAGTTACTGGATCAGATCTGTGAGTAATTCCTTAATGTTATCATTCATTAATTCTTCTTTAAGATATAACACAATCATTATTATTTCAATAGTTCAAATCATGAGTCAATTGAAGGTAGACCACCATGGAAAACCTAGAAGCACTGGACGGCGAATTTGTCCTATTGTGGGACTCCCCAGCAGTGCTCATCCACCATCCTGCTCGCGCGATTCAAGCCCAGGACCTCTCAGTCTCGCGCGTGAACTCTAAACCACTAGACCACTGAGCCGACATTCAATGGTGTTAATGTCTAACTTCAACTAATCCACGAAATTGAGCGACACATCCACCTTTGTCATCAATGAGTTCCTATCTCACAACTAACCCAGTTGTAATCCACTGGTCACTGCTTATCATTATCATTATTCACCATATGTTTCATTAATTTAATAAAGATATTGTGTAAATACTTATACTCAATGCTTAACACAAGATGTAAGACATTATTTTCCATTAATTTTATATTCTTTCATGTAATTGTTACTTTCCCATGTATTGTCTGTGATAGTTTAACTGACTCTGTCTTATCACATTTTTATCATTGCTAATCCATTATGTGCACGTTGTAACTGTAGTGAACAAGAACACAAGAACAGTGGGGACAATCGAATGTATTTGAGCACAAAATTACAGAACGTCTCACTTAAATCTGAGAATCATACAGTAAATACTTCATACGTAAAATATCAATCCATTGTCTCAAACTTGACTGTTTCATTTGGAAATATCAGTTCATGGTTTCAGATTTCATTGTTCGCGCACTTTCATACTAATTGCTTTCTGTTCCTGTTATTTCCTTTTCGATCTTCTACTAAAATACATTCTATTTTTGACGATCGTTATATACTACTTATGTGGATATAAGTAGCACACATCACAAAACCAAATGACATTAAAGTTATGTTCTATATCACAGTTAATTGATCATAACTTGTTAGAAATTTCTAAAGTGATCATAATAATTCATTGACTGAAAATGCTGAAAAGATCCATTTACACACACACACTTGCTATCCATATGTTAGTGCATTGCATTCATTAAGGATATTGCACCGATGTATCTTAGTTCATTCATTGCTGCATCACATGAGATTATTATTATTATTATTATTATTATTATTATTATTATTATTATTATTATTATTATTATAAAGGTATACGGTTCTTGTGGTTCACTTCATCAGCCTACTTTATATTATGAAATAATTGATCAATTATACTTACGAAAACATAGAATAATGAACTGTTATGTGTCCAAATAAAGAACAACTGAACTATCTTTGAGAAATATCACTTTATCAGAAAGGGTTTTCTGAAGATTTCAGTAATTTCAATAGTTGAAATCACGAGTCGATTGAAACTAGATCACCATGGAAAACCTGGAAGCACTGGACAACCGTTTCGTTCTGGTATGGGACTCCTCAGCGGTGCGCATCCACAATTAAGCGCCCGCGTGTGACCGATAGGTCCTGGGTTCGAATCTCGCATGGAGGGTACGGGACAGTGGATGCGCACTGCTGAGGAGTCTCATAATAGGATGAAACGATCCTCCAGTGTTTCCAGGTTTAACATGATGGTCTAGCTCCAATTGACTCATGATTTCAACTATTCAATATCACTTTCTTAAACTTCTTTATACTATTTACACAACTTGTAAATTTTCAATTTGAATAAAGCGTTTTATTTCTATTACAGAGAGGAGTAGATAGTGAAACTAGTCAGGTGGACAGATTTAAATTCTATCAAAATATCGGCTAACAAAAACTTACAGAATATTTGACTGAACAGCTAACTAGTTTTTTTTCTTTGTTTTGTATTGAATACGAATTATTTTAATGGAGTTTTATTCTCTGAGCTGGATGATTTCGTCGTGGAGTTTTCATCGTTCTTCTGAACGACATCGATCTGAGATAAAAATCTTTGCCACCGTCCATTTCATTTTTTGATAATATAACTCTTATATAAGATGCAGTATTTGAATATGTATTTTTTTACTTATTAATTTATTTGGACACATAAATATTGGTACAATAGGGGCACCAAATATATATGCACCACATAAAACAATGAAAATGGGAAGA